AGACATGCGATGGAATTACCCAGGGAATTCCAAGGTGCCAAGGATCCCCGAAAGCAATTCTCCGGATGTCCTGGGACATGCCAAGGATTTCCTAGGACATGTTCGCTACCGCGAAGTCCCAGGGGAACCTCGGGAACTGGAATGCCCCTCCTCTAGACAGCGCCCAGCGTTCTCAGCCCCCCCCCCCCTGCCCCCCATCAGCGCGCCGCAAACTTTTTTTCCGAAAAGGGGCCTGATCTTGGCCCGCTGCTCCTCTGTCGGCTTGGGGCCCTCTCGATGGTGCGCGTGCCCTGCGTCCGCGAGCTTCTCCTCAATAAACTCAACCGCCTTCAGCTTGCGACCGAGCATTGGCAGCTTCTGGTGCTTTCCTGTCCTGAGGGCCCAGTTAACGGCGCCGGGGAGCTCCGCGGCGATCCCGCCCACCTCCTTCTGTGGCCCGCCACCGCACTTGCCGCGCATGGCGCCCTCCTCTCCTGAGGGCAGCCGGGCAACGGGCTGCCCAGCGACCTGCAGGGGGGCCGCTAGCTCCGGCCCCGACGCGTCGGGGAACGCCTGCTGGAGTTCCACGGGCCGCCCGCCCGGCGCAGCGCAGCGCGCGCCGAGCGCCCTTGCGGGCCCCGAGTGCAGCGCGTCGGCGCAGGGCAGGGCAGGCAGAGCGACGCGCGCCAGATCTCGTCGTCAGAAGGGAGGAAGTGGCCGTCCTTCTACTCGGCCTGCATGCGCTTGCGCGCGATGGGGGCCGAGATTCGAGCCGCTGGCTTCAAGGCGCTGGCGGCTCAGAGGAGACGGGAACGCAATATTTCCCGCGTGGAGCTGCCGCCCCGGCCAGACGACGGCATTTAAAGCGACGATGAGGGCCCTCGTAGGAAAGCCAGGGCCCCCCCACATTTCTGGCCCAAGTCTTTTACGAATGGCTTGCGCCCTGTCGCAGGGCTGAGGAGATTCAGCGCCTAGAGCAGGGAGGGGATCAGGCTCGCTCCTTCCCCCCTAGGCCACGGGGTCCTGAGCTGCGAGCGGGGCCTCGGGAATCTCAAACTCCAGGCGCCCTTGACTTTCTTCCTGGACAGACCGGCCCCAGCCTCGGGAATTAGGCCGATTTTCCTGGCCCCATGGGGAAAAATCCGGCCGCGCCTCAGGCGCCCGTTGCTGGGAACTGGGGGCTCTCGCTCAACGATTCGTTTCTCTGGGGATGAACAGTCTAGCCTTATCGATTTATCATGAACATATACCGCACATGGATTCAATTAGGGGGGCTCTTGTCACGGGGTTCCCTGTTGTTGGCTGCCAGGCTTCTCAAGTGCCACTGTGCAAGGCAAAGATTGCCCGTGGAGCTCGCTGGAAGATAATTGTTTCAGGTATTGCCAGGGCGAACGACACCATCGCCGCTGGCTGCAGCTGTGCCCCGGCGTCAGCCATGCTTCTCGTGCACACGGTGATAGTGGTGCTGCAGTAGAGGTTCCCCGCAGTGAGGTTCCATAATCTCGTAGATGACTTACTTCTGCAGGCTATAAGGGCAAGGATGCACGTGCTAGAACAGCTCCCGCAGGCGATTACAGAGCTTGTTGCGTCCCTCCAGCATAGGCAGTTGGTTGTGGCTTGGGCTGAGACTGGCTGCATGGATAGCGCAGCCGAATTTGATGAGACTCTTAATCAACAAGTGTGCTTCAGCAGTGAGCAGATATTGAGTAGCAGCAGAGCTTTCGGCGCGGATGCCAACCGAGGTGCGTCCATGAGTGCGCAAGAACAGCAATTTTACAACGCGCGTTCTCCCTGAAGAAGGCAGGCACGAGTGTCACCACTATAACGAAGGGGTCTCCAGCGGCGACGGCGGTGTGGGGAGGGGCCGATGCAACAGGCATTGATGTCATGAAGCTCGCTGCTCTCAGGCTGGCCACCCTGAGGGGTGAAGGGGGAGTTCCCCCAAACACTTGCGGTGTTTCGCCTTTGCGTCACCCCCCGCGGGGCCACCAGGGACCCGTGGGTGGTTCATGTGTGTGATGTGATCAAGCGCTTGGTGTTGAGCGTGCAGTCTGCAATCCCTGGGCTTGGACCCCTTCGGAAAGAACGACAAGGGTCCCAAGTGGTCGACCACGCGCAGGCGGCAGTCCTGTCCTTGGCTCCGATCGGATGCGCACTTCCGTCTGCTGAGATGTTTTGCCACTTCGCGCTCGGTGAATTCAAAATCTTAGATTTGTTTCCTGCCTTTTTTGTGGAGATTGTCAGGCCACTGGCGTTGCTGGCGTCTGATTTCCTTGCTCTCAAGCGTCTCCCGCCTGTCTGGATCTCTCTTCTGAAATTGCCACCTCTGAATCGATCGCAGGGTTTTTGATTATACCGTTCTTATCACCAGGAAGTGAAACTTACTGTTCACTGTATGCGATCGCTGACTGGGGCTACAGATTCGCAATCAGAGCCGGTGGTCCCAAGCTGTGGTATACCAGCTAATCACCCACAAGTGTACGCAGACAGGCCCAGCGCTCGCCAAACATCACTTTCTCAGGGAAACGAATTGGAGCAAAAACCGCAGTGGCATCTGCCGTGGCACATGTGGCACCAGGAAGAAAGTAGCCCGCCGCCTCCCAGGCTCTTCAGACCCCGGCATGGGTCTCCACCAGGATGATCCAAGCCGAAGAGGCTTTGCACCCCCTCTGCCCAACGTCAGAGCTCCAACGCAATCTGGCGCAGGACGGGGTCCGTGGAGCGACCCCTTCAGACATGACGTATTTTTTGAAAATGCTGGCCCCCAGATCCAGCAAATGCGTCGGTTTCGGTGTTGTGCTCTCAATACACATGTCTGACCCAGGGGTGGCCCTCTCTGGCAGGACTGGCGCGCCCTGAGATCAACAGGCCGTGAAGCGTTTCCATTGCCCTGTACACTGGCGGCTGCAGGCGCGGGTTCCGCACCGCCCACAGCCCCAGCACCCAATTAACCACATTCAAGCAATCTCCGAAAATATCAAGGAGGAAGCAAGGTCTCGAGGAGGGGGCGAAGGAGGAGTGACGCCAGGAGAAGAGAGGGGGAGGGGGGATATATCGGGCGGCTTTTCGGAAACTCTTGGCTTCTAGATGGGACTGGCACGCAGTAGAGCGATCCCGAGAAAAGCGATGGCCGCCGACACCTAGGTCTTCCAGATACTCATATACAATTTTGTCATTAAGGCTGGCCCACTCACTCCCCTCAACCAGCGACCTCCAGTGTACACCCAAGGAGTTCGTGCAAGGCTCATCCCACAAAGATCTGCTCTTCCATCCGGCACGGTGCTGCCAGCGAGGTTCCTCGCGCGAGGCAGCGCTGTAGCCAACCTTTCTCGCTCGTTTGGCCCGTGCATCCAACTGAAGGTTATTAGTGGTCTGCCACTCCAAGTCGGGAAGGCACTTCAACACGTTTCGGATCCACCCCCGTTGCGGCGACGAGGACACGGTGTCGTTCGGACCGAGCGACCCGGACGATCTTTTTCGGGTGGGCGATCTTCCTGAAGAATCCCCCTTCCAATCGATGCAACTGTTTAGCAATACTTTTGTCAAAGATCCACCCGTCAGCGGAAAAAGAAAGTATTGGGGCAATATACTCGCTGTAGCGTTGCAGCCGCTCCTTCAAGCTCGAGATGCTGCCGCGCAACTCCTGGTCAGCTCAAAAGGCTCGGACCGCTTTGGCTGGGCGGTGTGCAAAGGCGTTCTCCTTCTCCCCCCTGTGGTGCAATACAGTTCTCAATTGCTTGGACGCCTCCATCCTCGGGACATGCAGATTTGGCAACTGCTTGGTTTCAGAATCGATTACCAACAAGGAGCAGGCATTGTTGTCCTTCAAATCGCCCCTGGTCTCCTCCCTGGTTTCGGCTTCGGGATCCCCCTGGACAAGCAGGGCCCACTCGGTTGTGCAAGCCACTGCTTCGGACCAAGGCCAGGACCTTCCCGATGTATTGTTCGGTAAAGTGTGCGGAGCCTCGGTGCATTCCTCTGCTCGAGGTCTCCGAGACGTGTGCAAAGGCTCGAAGCACCAGGGGCTTAAGACCCAGAGGTCCAAGCTGCGCAGGGGTCTTTTCCCTGGGCACACGCATGCCAAAGCAAAAGTGGGAAGGGCCTTTGGACCGACCCTGGCTATGAAAGCTGTTTGGGGTCCTCTGCTGGCTTCTGGGTCGGGGGCTGCCGCTGCTGGTGCTGCTGCTGCGGGGGGCCTTGACAGCGAGTCTGTAGAGGGCCAGGGCGCGGCTGCGAGCAGTGCTGGGCCTTCGGCTGGTGCGCGGGGGCTGGAGGGGGCTTCTCGCCTCCTTCACCTCCGCGGGCTGGAGGCCAAGGCCGTGGCCAAGCTGCATGGTTTCGCCTCGCTTGATGTCTTCGTGCAGTGGGAGAGCGCCCGCCAGAGGACTCAGACGGAGGCAGACGAGCTCGACGAAAGCGCTTGAGCTCTAGTTTTCGCCAGAAGTGCGAGGGGCACGCTGTGGTGCCCGCATGGTCAGTACCCTCAATACCATCCTCCTCTTCCTCCTCCTACTCCTCCCTCTTCGTCCTCTCCTCATCTTCGCCCTCCTCCTCCTCCTCCTCCTCCGCCTGGACCTCCTCCTGGCCCTGCCCCTGCTCCTCCTTTTCTCTCCTCTTCACACCTTGTCCTTATCGTAATCCACCCTGGCGGGTACCTTATCCGGACGGGGCCGACCGCGCCGTTTCCACAGCTGTCCGAGCCGAGCCCCAGGTCGCCACCGCGACGGCAGTCACGCTGGCGCCCGTGGAGCGCTTCGCGCGCCAGGCAGGGCCAACGAGCACGTGCCACGACGGTGGAACAAACAAACAGCATCGGCATGTCCTTTTGGAGGTCCACGCGGTTTTCTTGGATCGGTGCCTGGGGCGCTTCTGTTCTAGGGAGCTGGGGCGCGCTTGTACTGTGTCCTTGCCCACGCGATGCAGCAAATATTACGAGGCTTCGGCGGCGCTATTGCCCAAGGTTAACAGGAAGAGCACAAGCGGAATTATTGGGACCCTGAGGATAAGAAGAAGAGCAGGGCCTTGGGGTCGAAGCTTTCGGAGCATGTCAAGTCCGCCTCGACGGTGAAGTCGTACATCTTGGGCCGAGGCCTTGTCCCGTCAGAACGATTTTCGACGAGGGCGCAAAACATGATGCAGCGCAATGTGCGCAAGGAATATGACCAAAGAGGGCAACATGAGAGAGAGGCTATTCTGAAGAAGCTCCTGAATCGACCAAGGGACCTGTCCAACTCATATCTAAACTGAATAGGCTTTGGTTGCAAGAGGTCACCGCTTGTGCCTCCAACAAGCTTCCCAATGAAATCAACATCTGCGTAAAGATCCGGTTCTGACCCTGCGGGGCACTATAAGTGCAAGCCACCATTCGTGCACCAGTAGCCCTATACACTCTGATACTCAACGAGGATCGAGTACCGCAAGGTCACCCATTCTCCTTTGCGCTAGACACACCAGGGACCACGGATGAAATCGAACAGATTGGCAAAACCGACCAAGACAAGGTCCTTCCTGTTTAGCGAAGCATCGCACCACACGCGCAATGGATGCATGGACCAACTCCAGACTCCATGAACCCAAACACGTGCACGCTGCACTATTTACTGCCGCCACCCCCCGCCGACGTTCCGCCGGCAGACCCGCCACCGTATTTACTTCCGCCGGCTTCCGCCGAAGACAGGATGCGCCGAAGGCGAAGCCTTGTTCTGGAACGCTCCACATGCCTCTGGGTGGCTGCCACTCTCCGGCCTCCATTGGCGCGGACACTGCCGCGCAACAGTCTGGGGCGTCGAATCTTCGAATCCCAGGGCTCCTGCCCGATCTTTGGACCACCCCCCCGACGCACAATCCTGGAGGTGATTTTCCGGACCGCCTCCCCGCGTTACTCCGTCCCCTACCCCTGCGGGTGACGACGCGGATCCACCTCCACCCGCCACTGCCATGGAGATGGCCCCCCAGCTTCCTTGCTGACGGGATGTGAAACACACAGCGCTCGCACGACCTCGCCGTCTGAGGCGGGAGGGTGTACGCAAGGATGAGCAGCGACACGGGCGGCGGCTGAGTCCCGCGGCGTGGCCTGGACCTCCGCCCCCTACGACCAGCCATCACGCATGCCTGGCCTGCCCCCACCCCCACTTCACGCAAGAGTGACCCTCGGCAAGAGTGACATGTGGTGCGCGGTTCCATGGGATGGGATCGCGGGGAGGCGGCTGGGGGGGGGGAGGGCCAATCCAAACGCGCCAACCAATGTCGGGGCCCCCCTATGAGCCCGCTTTCAAGGCTAATTAATCCTGCGAAGGGGCACTGTTGCGTGTAACCGACTGCCTCCCCTGAGATCTGGGGCGTTGCAATTTGTTCACGCCGGAAGAAGGCTTCGCCCTTCTCCTCCCCCCGCTCCTCCCCCTTCTCTCCTCCCCCCCCCACCCCCGGCATTGCTCCCCCTCGGCTCGCGGTCATACCCCCTCCCTCCCCCCGCTCTCCTCGCCATTATACTCTCCTGCTTCTCAAGCAACTTGGGCTCAGGCCATTTTGGCGAGAGCCCGCACCCTGTGCCTGCACGTGGTGCTTGAGGCATTTCACCCACTCTCTCCACCCAGCGGGAGCGGCTGGTGACGACTCAAACAGAAGGTCTCGGTGCGTGTGGAGCCGGTGCGAACAGAATGTCTCACTCGCCCATGACCGAGTCTACCAGGGATGCAAGCGCAAGGTCAAATTATACAAGCAACGCCCCAGCACCGACACAGGCGGTGCCGACAAGACGATGGGCGGCAAGGGCAAGGACAAGAACGCAGGTGCTGCGGGCGCGTCCTCCCTGGGCGTCCCCGACTTGCTGAAGCTGGCCTTGAAGGGCACCGACGACTCGGCCCTTAAACAGTTGTCGCTGCAAGGTAAAGCGAACTAGCTCTCGACTCCGTCCGCAGCTGCGCCAGACGGCCCAGCTGAGGCTCTTTCGGGGCATGGCGGCACGCCGGCCACCCGCACACCCAGGCGGCCAGCAATGTGGTGCGGCTCCAATCCAGCCTCGAGATGGCAGTCCAGCGGGAGAAGGCCGTCGCTTTGGTGCTTGCCTAAGCCGCGAGGGCCAAGAAGGCGGCAACGGCAGCCATGGCCCGAGCTGAAGGGATTGGAGCTGCAGGTAGGGCAACGACGACATCGACAGGCGAAAGCCCAAATTCTCGCTGACTTGGGGTCAGGCCCTGTTCGACGGCCTCGGCGACTTTGAGTGTGAAGAACATGAACGAAAAGACTTGAAGCAGGTCGAGGCCGACAGTCTGCAGACGCACGTGAATGGCAAGGAGGGCGAGGTCTCCGCCATGCTCGAGAAGGCGCATCGCGTCAACTCCAGGCCATCATCGCAGAGCGCATGAAGACGAAACGCAGGGTCGAGGGCGACACTCCTGCCGAAGGTGCTAGCGGTGCCGAGGCGACGCAGACTACCCAGCAGGCTGCCACAGGTGGTGGCGCTGGCGGCGGCGGCGCAGCAGCGGACGTTCTGGCTACGGCTAGCGTTGCGGCGGACATGCCCGTCGGCGACGATGGCGACGACGAGGAGATGAAGGCGGTGGCTGAGAAGGTCTCGGCGGCCAAACTCCTGGCGCAGATGAAGGTGCTCGAGGAGCAGGCGGCCAATGTCGGCAAGTCCATCGGCAAGGGCAAGGACTCGCGCGACCCTGTCGTCGGCGGCAAGGGCGGGGGCCGCTGTTGACTATCCTCCGACAGCAACGGCGGCGGCGAACAGGCGCCGAACGTGGCGGGCACGGGCGAGGGCTGCTCACAGGAACTGTCTGGGGATCAGGACAAACTGCATGGCTTGTCGACAACTTCTTCCGCAAGGTCACGTGTATTGGCGACAAATCGTGGAAGTTCATTTCCAGTGGGAAGTCTGATTACGTGAAAGTGGTCGAGACTCACGTCGCTGAGTCCAGCATTTTGTCTTGGGAGAAGAAGTCCCGCGGGGCCATCCCCGAGCCACTTGCCAATCAAGCTAGAGAGCGAGTGAAACGAGTCTCGGAGACGCAGCAGGGATGGGCCGATGAGGGCGGCGAGTGGGTATTTTGCAAAGGCCACCTCCAGGCTCAGATCCCGGTCGCTCACGCCGCCTCCAAACCCCATCGCCGTGCAGGACATCGTCAACTCGATGGTTTCAAGGCCATCATTGTTCACATGTGCGGCTACAGCGGGGCCATCCTCACCTTCTACGCGCAACCCTCGTCGGGCTTCAGCGGTTTTTCACTCAAAGGCAAAAGGAACGCCGCTCCTCGTCGACGGCCCCAAGCTTTAGCCTCTGGAGCTGGAGACACGAGGCTTCAGGTAACTCTAGAATGCCTGAAAATGCTCGATGTCATGAAGTGGCTTGCCGTCATCAGGATGCAATCCCGAGAACAGCCTCATAAACGCAACATATATTTGGCCACCATTTGGCGGCCCCTTGCACTCTACCAAAAACCCCATGAAAACAAAGGTTGTGCGGTTGCCGCACCGCGCGCAAAAGACGAGAAGCCCATAGCCGCAGGTCCCGGCTGAGAGAGCGCGAGAGGAGCGCACCTTTCTTAGGCGAAATCGAAACTCGCCCGAGAAAGACGTGCACTGTTCATTACGGCAGTGAGAGACCGCTTCATCGGAGTGGCTGAACGTAAAACACGCAGCACATTTCCTTGGAACATGCTCTGCTTTGCGTGAGCTGTGTCCTCGTTTCTCCTGGCTTCATGACTCTGTCTTCCCTCGGGTGCCTTGGCCAAGCCTCAAGCATCCTTGGGATGAACTTCAGAATGCTACCGGCGCCCTCCTCCGTGACCTCGAGAGCCGACCACTACGACGGATCGAACGACGGGTGCATCTGGAGGCCCGACTTAGCAAACTGATCGCACTTATTGATAATCTGTAACGGTAATTCTCCCTGAGCAAAACACTTGTCCTCTTCTTGGTTGGACTTCACCCTGATGGCAGGATCTAAAGTGTCGGCGGTCGCTGCCCGAGGCGGTTGGAAAGGTACCTGCACACACATGTTTCCATAAGATAAGCGCGTGGACAAAGGCTTGTGAAAACCGTCCAGCACCGATTTGCATTCAACAAAGGCTGTGGACTTCATGGCAAAGATCTGCTGCAAAACCCGCAGACCGCCCAGGCATGACTATCCAACCATTTAAAGCCTGACCTTGTGCAGGCGCCGTCGGAGCCCATGAAGGGCCCCGCGCTACACGAACAACTTACATCTACGATGGAATCCGCTCTTACCTGCTCAATGTACATTATGAAATCACTAGCTGGAGAGGGAAAGGGATCAGGAACGCAAGTGGGGTGAGGAATAACACCAAGCTGTATGGCTAGCTTGCTGTCTGCGTCGTCTGCACATCTGGCTAGAAACTCAGGGGGGAGAAGGTCGTTTCTCAGCGTCAAGGCAGCAACCGACTGGGCGCATTGCATGTCATTGCTTGGCACTACATGGCATGTTGCTTGGCATGTTGCTCGGCATTGCGTGGCATTGCGCGGCATTACATGGCATTGCTTGGCATTCCTTAGTCTGGCGCTACTTGGCCTTGCGTGGCGTTGCTTGGCACTGCGTGGCATTGCGTTGCAATAATTGTCGTTGCGTGACGTTGCTTGGCATTGATTGGCATTGCGCGTCAAAACAGCAAGGAACCGAGACTGAGAAACCGAGGAACCAAGGCACCAAGGAACCAAGGAGACAAGGGGCCAAGGAACCAAGAACAAAGAACCAAGGAACCGAGACCAAGGAACCAGGATCAAGGAAACAAGGAGCCAAAACCAAATCATCAATGAACTAAGGAACCAAGACCAAGGAACCAAGACCAAGGAACGAAAGAACCAAGACCAATGAACAAAGGAACCAAAGAACCAATCAACCAAGGAACAAAAGAAACAAGGAACCGCGACCAAGGCAACCCGAGGAAGGCGGCAAAGAAACCAGAGGAACGCCAAGCAACCCCAAAGACCGTCACTGTAAAGAAACAAGACCGAATAACCCTGAGACAAGTCGGCCGGCCAGGCCTCCCACCCGCCGGCTCCTCACAAGGGAACCCATTCAGCAAAGCTTACTCGAGGAAAAACAGCCAACGAAAGGCAAAAAGCCAGTCCCAGGCGGTTTTGAACAGGTTGCGGCCTTGGGGACCCCGCGCAGTCCAAGAAGGTGTCTTGATCTCAACCGAGGCGCGTCTGGATCTGCCCCCCCCCCGCGGCCGAAGGCCTCCGGGGCGGATGGTGCACGGCCGCGGCACCGCCGCGAGGCCCCAGGGTGGCGTGCGGGGCCGCGAAGGCGCCCGTCCCGCCGGCCTCGCCGCGGGGGCCTGGCGCCTCGCCCGCGCACCTCTGGGCCGCCAGCTGCTCTCGACGGCGCGCCCACCGGCGCCCCCAGACATCCAGCGCATCGGAAAACAAACAAACAAAAATAACGTGTCAAGGTTTTCCGTAGCTTTCGGCCTCTGGAGGCCCTCGCCGAGCTCCAGGACTTTCAAAAAGCGATTCCAAATTCTAAACTGGCCCTGCGGAAAAGGTCGATCGGGACTTTCAGGGACCCCGCATTGAACAAAACAAAAATCGGATCTGTAGGTTTCCGCCGCGCGCCCCATCAGCGTCTACGTTGTCGTCGTCGTCGTCGTCGTCGTCGTCGTCGTCGTCCCATTCCTTCTTCTCCTCCTCATCCTCCTCCTTTTCCTCCTCCTCCTCCTCCTTCTCCTCTTCCCTCCTCCTCCTCCTCCTCCTCTTCCTCCTCCTCCTCCTCCTCCTCCTACTCCTCCTCCTCCTCCTCCTCCTCCTCCTCCTCCTCCTCCTCCTCCTCCTCCTCCTCCTCCTCCTCCTCCTCCTCCCGCTAACTGGTTCAACGTTTGTTTTCCATGCGAAGGGCACCTATGGCTCTGAACGCCGTGGACGCTCAAATGAGGCGTACGCCATCACATCTGAGCCACGAGGCTCCGGGCGAAACACAGCAGAGACTGCAGGACCCCATGCTTCCCCGCTCAGATCCTGGCAAGAACGCACACGACAAGAAGTGCGAAACCTGCACCGAGGGATATGCAATGGGAAGTGTGGCTACAAAATCGGTGAACATACTTGTACAAACGCGGAGGCTAGAACGGAAAAGTATGAAAGATACAAATGCTATGCGAATACAGCTCGCAATATTATCAGACAGCACGGAATTGGCAGCACCAATGGGTGTACAATCGCTACAACTGCAGAAGATGTCGGCTGATGCGCTGCTGCGCCACGCGAGCCGCAGCAGCAGCAGTAGGAGCCACGCAACCGCAAAAGTCCGCAAGCGATTGCGCCTGTTGAACTCCAGGCACCCCTCAGACCAGTGTAGCGCTCGATGCCGATGAGCAGAGACCATATGGACGTTTCGCAACTGGCTGGCTTTAGCCAAAACGGCCCCGGCCGGCGAAGGCTAGCGGCTAGCGAGACTCAATCCTGAGCCCTCCCCCCACCCAGAGTTAAGACATTGCTACACACGTCCTAACGGCTAGCAGCAATTTCTGCCTATGATCGGTATGCCCCCGACCCGCCTGGACCTACTGACTCCCAACGCCGAGGGCGTAGCGATGTTTTTTTTCACGCGGTTGCGACAACACCCGGCTTAGCGCGGTCCGCGAGCACGGGGCCCATCCTGACCAGCGCTGCCTGGGCCTGCGCTACCGCGCAGCGCCGCCTTGCGCGTCCTGCGGAGCACTGGGAAGCAGCGTCCACAGAGGTCTTTGTACTATCAGGGGAGGGCATTGACGCGCACAGCGTTGCGGCCGCACTTAAAGTGCCACAGGCACCTGCAGAGCCCCTGCCTATCCTCTCCAGCTGCGTCGAAGACCAGCACTGCATGGTACACGCCACTGGCATCATTCCTGACGATGGCGACGTCATCGCCGGGGCCCGCAAAGGCGACGCCGGCGCGCCCTGGCCGGACTCCTCGCTGATCGCCCGGAGACGAAGGGACTCCCAATCCAGGTGCTTAGTCTCCGCGATGTCGAGGCGGATTGTCGCCCGCTCCTGCGACCCCTCCCCGGCGCTGGATTCGAGGCAGCGAACCCTCTCGAGAAGATCGTCGAGACGCGATGCCGTCGCAAGACCCGCGGCGCCCTCACGTCGCGCCTGGCGCCCCGCCGACGTCGCCGCGAGCTGGCCCGCCACCTCGCTCAGGCCCAGCGAGTCCGACGCGCCCGAAGCGGCGCCTCAAGAGGCCCGGAGCGCCCAGGTCGTGGACACAGCCAATGGCGCAGCCCAGATGCACCCGAGGACGGCGTGGCCCCCCCAACACCTAAAACAACTGGATAAGCCAGATGACGATTCAAGCCAACGCGAGCGAGGGTCTGGGCGCAGGACACCCGGAGAGAGTGCCCCCCCCAGAGTTGGAGGCCGTCTGCAGAGACCGCGGGCAGGCCAAACGCCTCCGCGGCGGCACGGACGGTGGCGACGATCGCGCCCTTCTCGCACACCTTGCCCTCGGGGTCGGGGAACAAGGCCAGGTCTGGCGCCGGCAGGCCGTCTGCCGAATGCCGCGAAGGAAATCGAGCCCTGAGACATGACCGCTGGGGGCCCACAGCACGTGGGCCGGCAACCATTGCCGAAGACCCTGGCGCCGCAGCTGCGACCGCGCGAGCGGGCCGCGCCCAGAGCCCGAGTGCCCGTCTTTGATGCGGGCAACAGCCACGCGGCAGCAAGTCGGCCGCCCTTCCCAGCGTGGAAGGTGACCATGTGCGCGGGCGCCGCGGACAGCTCGATCTCGCGCGAGAGCCACCAGGCGCCCGCCAGCAGCGCCAACCAGGGGTTGGCGGGGCCCCCCGCAACCAGCGGCGTAGCGCCTGTCCGAAGCTGGGCTGGCGTCTCCATCGCGACGCCCTCGACCTTGCGGTCTGGCCCGAGCCCCCACTCGCACAAACGCCGCGCGTCGGCCAAGGCTTGGCCCACGGAGGGGGGGCTCGAGGTCGGCCTGCGCGCGCATCCTCGCCGCCAGCGACAAGTGCAGGGCAGCGGACCTGTATCCGCCAGCCTTCAGCGAGGCGCCCAGCCGCCGGATCTTCTGCCTGGGGGACCACCTCGACGCCCCACTGCTCGAAAATGGCTTTGAGCGCCCGGCGGCGCGACGCCTCCGAATTCGCGGTCGCCGTCGCCAGCGCTTCCGCGTCGAGCTGCTCGAGGGCGCGGGCCTGCCTGCGCCGACGCGAGGTCAGCAAGTCACCCCCTCCGGCACGCGTGCCTCCCGGGCGCCTCGTCCCGCCGCCCAGGGATCGACGGCCGCGCGGCTTCATCCTGCTGCGCCGCCGTGCCCTGGCGGCCACCGCCTCCTGGCGCCAAGCATGACCGCGCTGGGCTGGGGCCCGACGCGCCGCCAGCTGCCGCGCCGAGGGGTGCGCTACCCCAATGCTTGGCAGACGCCCGGCCAAGAACTTGCCCAACCTGACGCCGTCTGCATCCTGCCGGGCCGGCTGCTAGGCCCCACCGCGGCTGGAAGGCGGCCGTGGCGCGCGGGGCGCGACGGCATTGAGAAGGCCACCCATCGGGCCGCGGCGCTACTGGACTGCTAGGATGAGTTTCGGGGTTGCCAGACGATCGGAAGTTCAAACGTGAGATATAAGCAGATGCGACGTGCTTAACGTCAGATAGCGCTAAGTACATGCAAATACATAACAAGTATATTCCACGTGGCTTGGCAAGTACCAAGTTGAGCAGGACTAAGTGGTTACAATCACAGAGCAATTATTTAAGTTAAGCGGCCCAACAAACACTTTGCGACCAGTTGCGCAGTCTGTTGCTCAACCAAAAAAAGTTACACCGAAGACGCAATCATGCTGAACGAAAAATTAAGCTGAATATTGTTGAACCAGGTATCTTGAGTTACGTAGCTGACACATCTGATATCTATGTGTATAATATATATTTATACATATATATGTATGTGTGTGCGTGTGAAAATATACGTGTAAGTATACGTGTGTATATATGTATATATATATATATGTATCGGAGGTGAGGGGGTGAGATCGAAGTGGAACGGAGAGCCCCCCTACCGGGAAATCGATTTCGGTTTCGTGTTGTGCGTGCCGTGCGGGCGAGGCGAAGCTGCGTGGGCGGGCGAGAGGAAAGTCTCCTGTGGCTGAGGCGCGGCTGGACCAAATGATTCTCCGCCGGGCGGCCGGTGGCGCGCGGTGTCCCGCCGGTGTCCCGCTGGTGTCCCGTCGGTGTCCCTGTGGCTGAAGCGCGGCCGGACCAAATGTGTCTCTTCCGGGCGGCCGGTGGCGCGCGGTGTCCCGCGGGTGTCCCGCTGGTGTCCCGTCGGTGTCCCTGTGGCTGAGGCGCGGCCGGACCAAATGTGTCTCTTCCCGGCGGCCGGTGGCGCGCGGTGTCCCGCCGGTGTCCCGCTGGTGTCCCGTCGGTGTCCCGTCAGTGTCCCGATGATGATGATGATGATGATGATGATGATGATGATGATGATGATGATGATGATGATGATGATGATGATGATGATGATGATGATGATGATGATGATGATGATGATGATGTGGACGATTATGATGATGATGGTGATGATGATGATGGTGATGATGGCAGTGATGATGATGATGATGATGTTGGTGTTGTTGCTGATGACGATGATGATGATGATTATGAAGAAGTCGATTGTGAGATCGATTGTGACATCGATAGTGAGACCGAATGTGAGATCGATTGTGAGATCGATAGGGAGATCGTTTGTGAGATCGATAGTCAGATCGATTGTTAGATGATGATGGTGATGATGGTGATGATGGTAATGGTGGTGATGATGGTGATGATGGTGATGATGATGATGATGACGATGATGGTGATGATGATGATGGCGTCGATTGTGAGATCGATTGGAAGTTCGACTGTGAGATCGATAATCAGATCGATTCTGCGATGCTGATGGTGATGATGGTGATGATGGTGATGATGGCCATGATGGTGATGATGATTTTGATGATGATGACGACGTTGATGATGATGATGCTGATGATGATGATGCTGATGATGACGATGATGATGATCATGACGACGTCGATGGTGATATCGATTGTGAGATCGGCCACTCGTCGCCACGGCTTGATTCGCCTCGAACCGTGTCCTCCTTCGTTGTCTCCCTCCGCTCGTTCCTCTCCTCGCCTCCTCCCTCCCGTCCTCTCCCTCTTGGTTCCTCGGCTTCCTCCCGCTTTCTTTGCCTTGCCCCACCTCGGGGCGGCGACCTCCTGAGGGCGCTCGCTTGGCCCCTCCCCCCCAAAACTAGACCGAATGAGAGTTCGATTGTGAGAACGAATGTGAGATCGATTGCGAGATCGATTGTGATATCGATAGTGAGATCGA